ATTCAAAAAGGATGTGGAGAAGCTTGAGAGAGCCCAGAGAAGAGCCACGCACATGATCAGAGGTCAGGGAAGCAGACCCTACGATAACAGGCTGAGAGCCATGGGGCTTTTTAGCCTGGAAAAGTGCAGGCTCAGGGGTGATCTGATGGCCACCTATAAGTTTATCAGGGGTGACCACCAGTATCTGGGGGAATGTTTCTTCACCAGAGCGCCCCAAGGGATGACGACTAGGTCGAACGGTCATAAACTACTACAAGACCGTTTCAGGCTGGACATAAGGAAGAATTTCTTTACTGTCCAAGCCCCCAAGGTCTGGAACAGCCTGCCACCGGAGGTGGTTCAAGCGCCTACATTGAACACCTTCAAGAGCAAACTGGATGCTTATCTTGCTGGGATCCTATGACCCCAGCTGACTTCCTGCCCTTTGGGCAGGGGGCTGGACTCGATGATCTTCCGAGGTCCCTTCCAGCCCTAATGTCTATGAAACTTTGCTTGTCTCAAAGTGAAAATGAAAACCTGAGAATTTCTTGTCCATGAAATGTTCTTTGTTGATGAAGCTGCAATTGTTAGTCATTCAGAAGCAGGACTGTAAAGTCTCATGGATCACCTTTTCTTGTGCTTGTGGTGATTTTCAGTCTGACCATTAGCCTAAAGAAGACAGTAGTCATGGGTCAACAAGTTGACCACCCTCCTGAAGTTAAAATAAGTGATGATAAAAGCCTGGAAATGGTTGAAAAATTCACTTACTTGGGCTCCATCATCTCGCAAAATTTTGTCTTGGGAGCTGAAATTAACACTCATATAAGAAAGGCAAGCGATGGCTAAGCTTCAAAAGAGAGTTTGGAAAAACAGCGCTCACTATGTCAACAATGATGTCCAGCTATAGCAGTTGTGTATTTAGCTCTCTATTGTATGGCAGTGAAACATGGACTCCTTATGCTAAGGAAGAAAGAAAATTGAACCATTTCCATTTTTGGATGTCTTTACAGTATCTTGGGCATAACATGGCATGACAATCTGTAACTTCACTACTCTGGAATAGGCCAAGATACCCAGTATGTTTATGCTTCTAAGACAGACACACCTCTGTTGGTTAGGACATGGAGATTTGACCATTGCTTATACAATTCACAAGGAGATACTCTATGGTGAGCTGGTCACTGGCAGATGTCACTTTGGATGGCCCAGACTCTGTTTGGTTGATTATCTGCAAAAAAAACCTTTTGTGAGCTGTATTGATGGCCAACACCAGGAATCAATCACTTTGGACCACTATATGTGGAAAGCTGCCATGAAGCAAGGCCTACATCACTTCAAGATGAAGAGGGTCAGTGATGAGCTAGAGAAGAGGCATCATAGGCAAGCAAGACAAAATAGTATTTGGCATGCCAGTGCAAGCTCAACTGAGTTTGTATGTGCAAGTTGCTGGAGGGTCCAGCTGCTGTGCATTGGACTCTTCAGCCAGTCAAGAAGGTGTGATACCCTGTAACCCACGAAAGGTGCAGTCCCCATGGTCTTCTAGACTGATGCCTGACAATGACAGACAGTCAAAAAGCCCAAGGCTGAATCAATTCAACCTTTGCAGGTTAATCTAGGCTGCATAGATTGAATTGATAAGCAAGTGAACAGACATCCACTTTTGATTCCAGAAATGTAGCCATATGCCTGCAGTGGCTTGGGCCAGAAGCTGTGGGTATTAGAACACACCTCCCTGCTTGGCTGGAGCAGATGGCTTAGGCCAAGGCTAGCCTGCCCATCCTATGAGTCAGGGTTTGTGGGGGAGGTGCAAAGTATCCTGGGATGCTGGGGGACTCTAATTGCCTACAGACATTTAGGGGCCATGCTCTAACTCCTGGTGTTTTTCACACCTGGTGCTCCCCTCTCAGCCAGTCCCATTTCTGTGACTGCAGGAGTGAGTTTGGCCAACCAGAGAAAATTCCTCCTTTTATTCACTGAGCCAGACTTGTACCCCAGCAGTCTCAGGAGCAGGTCTGACTGAATGGAGAAAGCAGGGAGGTCACATTGCCCATTACCCAACACCATCAAGGAGAGAACAAGGGTCAAGGTGTATTTTGTCCAATGAAGTGGATCAGCTGTGCTGCAACACATCATGGCACAGCTGATCCACTTCATTCAGCAACGTCTATTTCTAACCATAGGTTCTACACACATCTTGCCCTAATACTTGTGCTTTGCTCATGAAATTTGGTCACGTGCAAATTTTTCTGGCTGTAAACTAATTGGAAGTTGGCTCTCATGTTCATCTTATAACTTTGTCTGATAATACTGCCTCCCCTGAATAGGTCTTTTTTGGAAGATGGCTGATAGAAGGCAGCCCATATGTTGTACTGTTTGATATAGCATCCGCAGCTTGGAATCTGGACAGATGGAAAGGAGAATTCTGGGATGCAAGCAACATAGGAATCCCTTTCCAGGACAGAGAGGCCAATGATGCTGTGATCTTTGGATCATTAACAGCCTGGTTCTTAAAAGAGGTACTGTTTAAGGTTTGGAATAACAATAACTTCAAACTAAAGCTGTGGAACTGTTACAGATTTGAGCCAATTTTTGGAAAGTCACTTCTAACCCATATCGTGTAGTGAGCTAAACCCCCTGATTTGTAAGCTCTCTCCAGCAACCAGAAGAGAGTTTATTCCTGAACTGGATCCAAATTGCAGCTGTTGCTGTCTCCTAATTTGCTCCATCAGTAACATCAAACACATTGTTTCCATGTAAAGCTACTTGCAAAATGTACTGTTCCTTTGAGGTCATTTTCACCCTCTGTTTTTTCTCAGTTCTCTGAGTTCTTACTGGAACCTCTTGCAGGTGCAAGTTCTCAATCTTTTCTTGTGCACAGCCAGGTGATCACAAAGAAAAGAGGTGATCACACTCAAACTATCCTTGCCTTTAGCCTTTAGTAATTCTTCAACTTGGTAGCCTCTACCTTGCCTCAAAATGCAGAGCCATGCCTGGTTATCTTAAACAAATTAGTCTTACCAGCAAAATAGAAAGAGTAGATGATTATGCTTCTCAGAGCTCCCCAGCATGTGGGGGTTGCAGACAAATGGGGATCCAGTCCAGCCTGCTCTTCTCTACACAGGTAGCCAGCCCCACTTGTATTGTCACTCAAGCAGACTAAAAGCAGGGCTGGGGTCAGTTAGAAGGCTGCCGTCTCCTTACATACAGTAGAAAGCAGGCATCTGTGGGGGAACTTCTGGGATTGATTGATAATCAGGATGTTATGTCTTTACATATTCTTTTTAATTGTTTTCAGATCTCCAGTCAAATTGATGACAAGCCTAACATAATTGCTCACTTTCATGAATGGCAAGCAGGGGTTGGTATAATCCTCACTCGATTTAGGAAACTTCCTGTTGCCACAATCTTTACTACCCATGCCACACTGCTCGGGAGATACCTGTGTGCAGCAAACATAGATTTCTACAACAATCTTGACCAGGTAAAAGTCTGTCTTCCTCTTTCCCACAAGTGACACGTCCTGTTAATTTTTCAGTGAACCTGCCATGTCTAATTAAATCATTCAACTGTTTTTTCCCTCTGTTAATGCTACCAATGCATAATTATTTCTTCCCCCAATTCATTCTTTCTCATGAGACTGGCCTATCTAGAAGCATTTTGCAAATACTAAAGTATAGCAGATTATAGTAGCCAAATCATTAGGTACTGAATGCCTTATCCAAAGCCTGGTTAAGTCAGGTGCTTTAGCACTGACATCAGTGGACAGTGGCTCAGGTTTATATTGAAGAGAACTGGAAAAGATCAGATTCCTGGGCTCAGGCAATCTATTGGTGGTCACAACACACTGTATTTCCACAGCACCTGTTATCTGTGCCTTATTGTAAAGTGTCTGTGATATTTTGAAAGGCACAAAGGCTAACTAGGTGCCAATCTACCATTGAAAGTCAGTGCATTTGAAAATCTTCCTCTTTATGATCATATAATGCTTATGATGTAACTAAGTTAGAGTAACACTGAATAAATTGGTTGCCAATTATTGTAGCATAGTAAGCAGGCATTGACTACAGAACCTTCCAACTCTGCTGTCATCTTAGATCAGGTATTTTAGCTGGTATTCACTGTTCGACAACTTTTTTTTTTTTTTAATAAAGTAAGGTTGTATAAAACAACAGTATGATATTCCAGCAATGTCTGGTTGGTTGACGTTATAAGTGACTCTCTATTTTAAAGCTATTTCTGCTTTTCCCATCCTGACCTTCCTCCCTTGTAAAGTAAGCAGAAATCCTAATGCTTTCAAATATTTAAGATTTTTTTTTTTTGCTCTCTATTTTTGGAGGAATTCAAGAGAGGTTGTTGTCAGTGGTTGTCTTCTAAATGAAAAGACCCAGTAAAATTGTTTCTTTTGGGGAATTTTTGTAGTGTCTTAATGGTTTCCGATTGTGCAATCCTCTGACAATTCCAGACTACTGTGTTGCAGCACAACATTCAAAACATCAGCAAATTTTCATTGCCCTGCTTCAGCTCAGTGCCCAGTAAATTAATTAATAGAAAGCTAGATTTGGAGATTGAAAAACACTTGGCACATTTGTCAAAGGCAGAGGTAATTACAGGTGCAAAATAACTACCATCTCTATACACAATTCACCCTCTCCAAGGCCAAATGAGGAAACTGATAACCACTGGATACTATATTTTATGACTGTCCTTACTACGAATCTTTCAAATCTTGATGGTGGCCCAAAGACAAAGTAGTGCATTGCCACCCTACTCCAGGACAGTCCTAGGGAGAAAACTGGTTCTCTCTGGGAGTATCTACACAAGACATTTACTGCACGGTTGACTAATTAACTGCACAGTAAATGTCTTGGTGTCCACATGTGTGCCCCTACTAGGGGGGCAGGCAACCAATAAACTGCAGCAGGATAGTACATGTACAAGTACTACCTTGATGCAGAGTTTTCTCATGTGCAGCAGTACACAGGTAGATGCTGCCCCGGCTGGCTGGGGAACAGCGTGCTTCAGTGGCAGGCAGCCCCCCCACTACTAGCTGGCAGGCAGCCCCCACACTGAAGCACCCTCATGCATCAGCCAGCCATGCCACAGCACGTGGAGCCTGATTTAGAGTAGTTTAGGGCTGTCAGACTGACTCCTCCTCATTCCCTGCCAGCCCAGGCTGCTCTGACTGGGCTCCATGTGCTGCACCCAAATAAACTCTGGAGCATATAGCTCCAGAGTTTATTTGTGCACATTAATCGCATGTAGAGACAGTCCCTCTGACCCCAAAGAAGTAATAGTTAATGCTGTTGCTTTTGCTCCTTCATTTTTGTCCACTACAGATCATTCTGAGCTGGTCAGCATAGGAAGGGAGAAGCCATGGCTCCGCTCAATTCCTGACAATCATACAAGGGTAGTACTTTCATGTTTACTGCCACATAACCCTGAGCACACAGTGACCAGGTTGGAGAAGCTCCTATACTCCCCTCACATGGATTTGTAATCAAGCCGAACTCTGGCTTCAATTTGTAGCATCTGATATTGTTGATCTGTCGATTTGCCCCGGCTAAAAGAAGAGCATTTTCATATGAATGCATGGAGAAAGTGGAGGCTTTCACATTTTATTAGAAGAGAAAACATTGTCATTTTGCACTTGAATATTTTCAAGTATTTAGCTTTTTTGTTGTGGCACACTTTTAAATAGAAATGTTTGGAGCAAATATTAAGGTACCAAAATAAAATGTTTTGAGGACTTTTACCCATTGTAATTAAAAATAGTTGTCCAGAAAATCCCATTTCATAAGCAAAATTCTAAATTTCAGTATTTTTTTTTTAATTTGGCAAACTTCAAGATAATTTGGACATCATAAATAAACCTATTTTTAAGACAACATCATTTTCCTCACAATAGTTTTGGAATTTTTTCTCTTTCCAATGTATATACTTAGGCCAAAGCCATGCTTTCTATCCCTGAGCAGATCTCTTGATGATGACATAAAGAGATATCAATATAAAGAGACAAATATTGCCTTGGCAGCTAGCTGGATAAATGTATGCCTAGTTTCAACTGTGTCCGTAAAACTATACCTTGCATATTAATACCTAACTCTCTCAAGTGGGAGTTAGCAATGCTTCAGGAAGGATAGTCCAAATTTACCCAGCTTAGTCTGAGGCCAGTTGCCCTTCCAACCCAACTGCCCCTGCTTCTTCTGCTGCCTGGCCACCATATGAGCAAAACTTCCTGCCACCAAAATGCAACAGAAGCCCCTGCTCCATGGGCCAAATATAACCCACAGGACATAGGTTGCTGACCCCTTGTCTAAAGGATTATTACTAATCACTGCAACTATACTAAAATTGGAGTTCCACGACTCAATTCTTCATTCTGTGCACATGGGATTTTGACATTTAAAGTGCACTAATACAGGAAATCATGCCAGACTGTTCCTCTACTGTTTCACAGATGCTTACAGTGTGTTAAGTCTCTTTCTGACAAATGTTAGCATTTACTAAGAGATCAGCTCTCTTAATGAGGGCTCCTTTAGCTGTAAAAAGGTCAACCTGGCCCAGAAGCCAGATGAGAAACATAGAGGGGTTTCTTCAGAGTACACTCATTAAATTATATGGATGGGCAGGTCTTTAGAAGATATTTTTGATGCTGTCTTTTAGTAGTAAACTATTAAGGTCAAACAAGTGATTTGTCCAGTGATAAAGACTCCCCAAGGCTTCCTTGTGTTTAACCTTTGCATGAGACAATATGTCTTTAAAGGGCATGTCACTCTTTTTCCTCTTCCAAAGTACAATACATATTTTTCCATTTTCAGGCCAATTGCAAATATACTTAAAAATAATTTAATCTCTCACTTCTGATCAGTATTTCTTGAAAATAATATATTTTTCCTTCAGCTGTAAGCACAATATCTGAGAGAGGACTGAAGCAGCTGGTACATCTTGTATGATAGATCAAAGGTGAGAACTGAAAGGCAGAAGTGAAAGAACAGGGTAAAAAGCGACTCTGAACTAAGAGACATATATACTCTATGCTTACAGCAGGGGAGATGAAACTTTACTAGCACCCATCATGGGCCAAAGGAGGATTGGTTTTGATGTACTTGAGAGAGAACCGTAGTTGGCCTGGAGTAAAATTTTCCTTGTGCAATTAAGTCAATTCAATTAAGTTTATTAAGGATTCTGGCTGAAAGCCATGCTCCTGAAAACAATATAAGACATACAACCATAATATAAATTTAAAAAAAAACCAAACAATGCATATTTAATGCAAATATAATAATAGAATAGGGCCAACCATTATAAAAGCATTATTCCGACTCCTAGAATTAACATAATCAAGTACAAATATGGTGATAAATCAGATCATGAATCTATAAAAATGGTGTGCATAGGTCCACAATTAACACAGTAAAAAACAAATATAGTGATAAACTTTATCAGTCATATCAACAGTAAAGGATGTTTAGCTCTGATTGCTTCAGCCTTGTAAACAAAAATTGCAAGATGGTTTACTAAATATGGATCTGTTTGCATGGAGGAGCCACATTAATTTCTCTGTTTGAGAAGAATATCAGTTTCTTCAGGAAAGGTGATAAATACTTTCTCCTTATGTCGTTATATAGAGGACATTCTAAGACATAATGAATAGTGATTTCCAAAACTCCTAGACAGGCTGGGCAACATCTTTTAGCCCTTGGAATGGAAAGTCTACATCCAGCCAAAACAGCTGTGAGCATCTGTTTGGTCCTGAGTCTAGCCAAAGACGTTTGCCATTTATTGTTGAGATCCAGCTGTAAATACCTTTCTCCCCCCCACAATCTAATTTCCAAAGAATATATAGAGGGGTGATGCAAGTAGCCCTGGCCACTGCAAAATCATTCTGCCTGGCAATATCTCGGAACCTCTGGAAAATCCAGACCTTTTCTATGTGGGAGTCTTTCATTGTCTTTGACATAATGTCCCATCCCAGAAAATGCAAAAGTCCAGGAAAGAAAAGCTAGCCAGGGAGATTGAAGAGAGAGGGGATTATTGAAGTCTTCTGTATAGCACAATTTGGGCAAGTGAGACTGTAGAAGAGGCATACTTTTAAACCAGAATCCTGCCATTCTAATAATAATAATATTAGTTAAAATGGAATCTAATCCCGTCTCTAATCTAAAGAAGGATGCAGGAGTTGAAGCAGGAAGACCCAAAAGAGCCCTGAGAAACTTATTTTGAGGTATGTCTACATCATTACTGGTGGCATAGCCCCATACTTCAGCGCCATACAGGATCTGAGATGCAACTTTGGCTTCATATGCTAATATGGGAACTTGGTCTGATTGACCTGCTGTGGTCTCATAAAATTTCTTTATAGCCACTGCTGATTGGGCTGTGTTACCAAATCTGCCCATTACTTTGGGGTGTGCTCATTTATTAGGGATAGTTTCTAGGGTCTTGGTGATTCTGTCAATGTGCTGCTTGTGTTACTATATG